AGCAGTCAGGATTCAACAAAAAACAAGCAGGTTAGACAAGACAATTTAAGCAGCAACTGAGAAAAATAAAAATGAATTCTCTTTTCTTGTATACTTTTAAATTTCCAGAAGGCTTTTAAGTTATTGAAGTATTTACTAAAGGCATAAGACATGTGAGTGGAAATCATTACTGTCATCTATATTAATAACACCTGTATAATTGATCAGTGTTTCATATTTTCTTCTTTCAATTAAACTCTGCTGTCTGAGATTACAGCACAAAAAAGAGTCTCCGAAAAAAATTGCAAAAAACAATTTAGTCACATATTTCCTTTGTGAGCTTATTTGGTTACATCTGAAAATACTGAGAACTTTTATTCTATGAAAATGATTGTTCCCTCAATAGCTATTGGATGCATCAAAATGTCTAGCACCATTTCTACTACACAGTAAATGCTCAAATATATTTATTGGAATTAGCAACCATTCCCCTTTCTTTGCATCCTCTCCATCTGTTTTTTGATTTTTTAACAGAAGCCATTCTGACTGGTGTAAGATTGTGGTTTTAATTTCATTTCTCTAATGATTAGAGATGATGAACATTTATTCATATATTTGTTGTCAGCTTGTATGTCTTCTTTTTAGAAGTATCTATTTATGTCTTTTGGCTTCTTTTTAATGTTTTTTTCTTGATAATTTAAATTTCTTATAGATTCTAGATATTAGACCTTTGTCAGATACACAGTTTGTGAATATTTTCTCCCATTCTGCAGGCTGTCTGTTTACTTCCTTCATAGTTTTGCAGTGCAGAAGATCTTGAGTTTAATTAGGTCACACTTGTCAATTTTGTCTTTTGTTGGAATTGCTTTTGAAAACTTAGCCAACATCAAATAGGGTATTTCCTAGGTTTTCACCTAAGATTTTCATATTTTGCAGTCTTACATTCAAATGTTCAATCAATCCTGAGTTAATTTTTGAGTATGGTGAAAGGTCAGGTTCTAGCTTCATTCTTCTGCATATCAGTTAGCGATCACAGTACCATTTATTGACTAGGGAGTCCTTTCCTTATGGCTTAGTTTTGTTGACTTTTTCAAAGATCAGATGGCTGTAGGTGTATGGCTTTATTTCTGAGTTCTCTATTCTGTTCCATTGGCCTATTGTCTATTTTTGTTACCAGGACCATGGCTTTTGGTTACTGTTGCCTGGTAGGATAGTTTGCAGACAATGTGACACCTTTCGCTTTCTTCTTTTTGCTTAGGATTAATTTGGCTATTCAGGCCCTTTTGTTGTTGTTGTTACATATGAATTTTCAGTAATTTCTTCTAGTTCTTTAAAAAATGATGTTGGTAGTTTGATAGGAATAGCATTCCATCTGTAAATTACATGGGGTATTACGGCCATTTAATGATACTGATTCTTCCAATCCATGAGCAAGGAGTGTTTTTCCATATTTTGTGTTATGATTTCTTTGAGCAGTGTTTTGTAGTTCTCCTTGTAGAGATATTTAACCTCCTTGGTTAAGTCTATTCCTAGGTATTTTATTTTTGTGTGTGACTATTATAACTGGGATTGCATTCTTGATTTGGCTCTCAGTTTAAATGTTATTGGTAACTGATTTTTGTGTATTAATTTTCTTTGCCAAATTTTGGTATTAGGATGATGCTGGTTTCATAGTGTGAGAGAAGTCTCTCCTTGATTTTTTTGGAATAATTTCAGTAGGATTGGTAACAATTCTCTGTCTAGTAGAATTCAGCTGTGAATACATCTGATCATGAGCTTTTATTGGTTGATAGGTTTTGTATTATAGATCCCATTGTTATTGGTCTGTTCAGGTTTTCAGTTTCTTCCTGTCTCAACTATGAGAGGTTGTGCGTTTCAAGGAATTTATCCGTTTTCTCTATATTTTCTATTTTGTGTGCATAGGGGTGCTCAAAATAGTTTGAGGATCTTTTGTATTTCTTTGAGATCGGCTGTAATGTCATCCTTGTCACCTCTATTTATGCTTAGATATCTTTTTATTTGTTAATCTAGTTAGTCTATGGATCTTTTTTTTATTTATTCAAAGAGACAACTTTTGGTTTTATTGATCTTTTGTGTAGATTTTGGCATCTTGGTTTCATTAAGTTCTGCTCCACTTTTGGCTATTTCTTATCTTCTGCCAACTTTGGGTTAATTTGCTCTTGTTTTTCTAATTCCTCCAGGTACTGTATTATATTGTTATTTGGAATTTTCTAATTTCTTCATGTAGTAGTTTACTGGAAAGTCTTGGGAGATAGGCACCCATGGCCACGTTTCGCTGCAGCTGCCCCACAAGCAAAATGCCTTGGGCTCTGGAGCTCCACCCTTCTCTATTCTCTGAGCAGATTCCCCTGCCAATTCAAGTGTCTGTGAGGATCAGGATCATCCCTTGTAGCTAGGATCCCAGAGGTCCGTGGCGAAGGTGGATTGCCCCACAGTAACTTCACTCGCCCTTCCTTAATAGCTGTTCAGGGCTGGGAATTAGTTCTGGCACTTGGCATCCCCATGCAGGGACCCTAGCTTCCTCCATCTTCAGCATCAGTGACTGTGTCACCTCACTGTCGACTCTCAGTTTTTTCTCTCAAAAGATCTGCTTTCAGTATGCGGGTTTAGTTCATATTTTGGTGGCTCTTGGTGAGAGAGGCACTTTCTAGCTGCATCTAGTTAGCCCTCTTGCTCTGAATCTCCTCAAGTGACATTTATACCTTAGGGTTTGATGGTAGCCAATAGGTTGGCTTTGGCATCCTTCAACTCAATGTCACAGTTGTGTCTTTGCTATTAGTATAAACTAAAGAAAAAAACATTATTATTTTAATAATCTCTGACTGTCAGACAAAAGTGACTATTTTGTTCTTACTCTTTAGGCATTGGTCTCATTGTCCTCTTGGTTTGCACAGATGGATACAGCATTGCTCTAGCCATACAATGCTCAGTCTTCCATCCAGATGCCCACATGGAGCAGGTTCTCACTTTATATTTCAACACCTGAACCCAAACACCATGTGTTCCATTTGACAGAACTGGAGGCAGACTTTACCTTCATGGATTTGTTATGCTACATCAGGCTTTTTTCCTCCTCTGTGTAAGAGCATGAGGAGAGAAGATATAAATACATTTATCCTTAAAACCAAAATAACAAGCCCATCTTAATGTTACTTCAGTTTTTTTAACATAAGAATAGTTACAAAGTAACGGTCTGTTACATTTATTTGGAAATATAAAATTATTCCTCTGTCATATACTAGTTTCTTAAAAAGTTAAACAGAATTACCATATGACCCAGCAATTCCACTTCTAGGTATATACCCAAAAGAGATGAAATCGGAGACTCGGACACTTTCACACCAGTACTCAGAATTTCCACACTATTCATAATAGATGTGGAAATAGCCAACCGCATATCAACAGATGAATGGGTAAAGAAAAAGTGATATGTGTGTCAGTGTACATATATATATCTATAGGAGTGACATAGATGATAGATAGATAATATTTACATATATTTTAATAATATTATATTGGGGTGATATATATTTTTAAATATTTTGGGTGTATATATATGTATATATATATATATATATACATACATACACACACACACACACACACACACACACACATATATATATATCTCACCTCAATGGAATATTGTTCATTCTTAAAAACTAATGAAATTCAATACATACTACAACATGGATAAACTTTGAAAATATGCTAAGTAAAATAAACCAAACATATAAGAACAAATAATGTATGACTGATTATATGACTATACGTACACATAGTCATGCACTATGCATGATTTGTATTTGTATTAATGACAGAGGCTGGAGAGGCAGAAATGGGGAGTTATTGTTTAATGAGTACCAAGTTTCTGTTTAGGTTGATGATAAAGTTATTGAAATGAATAGTGGCAATGTTTGCACAGTTTTGTGAATGTACTTAATGCCATTGAATCATATACTTTAAAATGATTAGAATAGTAAATTTGGAATTATATATGTTTTGCCACAGTAACAGGTAAATTAATAAGTAAACTTTTTTTTTAATTACTCCCTGTGGTACAGTTACTCCATTCATCATCACATTGAGGCTTCCAGATTGCGGAGTGTTGTGAGGTGTTGTGAAAATGGCTCCGAATGTGAAGTCGGAAAAAACTTTCCTGTAAATCTCAGCTCTGTCACCTAGTAGGAATGCAAATTTGAGGATGTCACTTAGGGCTATTGCACCTTAGTTTCTTCAAGTTACGCTGTCCAACAGAGTTGTTTTGATGACTATAATTGTAACACATATAAAGTGCCTCATAAATTCAAACAACAAGGCAAGTGGATGGAGGCGACTTTTTAAAATATATTCCTTTACAGAGCTTAGTTATAATACTCAGCACTAAAATGCATTTATTAATTCATATTTAAATACACTAAAATATTAAGGTATTGTTGGTAAGACAACCACAGATTTTTTTTTAATTTTTTCTATTTAAAGTACTAAATCCATAATTTTTAGAATTAAACAATGGTGAATTTCCAAGGAACCACATTTCTGTTTCCCATTTCTTTAAGGAATGCATTACTAAACCTTTCCATTTATCTTATTTGAAAACCATTTGTTCATGATGTAGCCTCACTGTACATATCTTAAGAAGAGATAATTATATTACCTCGGAAAGAAGGGACAGCTATATTATATCTCATCTGAGATAAAAAAATGGTCTTCATTCATACCTAATTATAAATTTTAAAGTATTTTACTAACTTTTCTCATCTTCATTCCAAACCACACAAACCATTATCAGTCTCTACACTGTTAAACATATAACAATAATTTGGCATGACATTATATCACATTGGAAATTATATCGGAAGGTCCTTTGGATACATAATTAAATTGCAAAATAAGTACTTTTAAAGTAAGATAAATTTTATGCTATAACATCATAAGTTAATAATAAAATTAATGTCATTGAAACAAATGCCAACTAATTTTTTTGTTTTCCTCCTTAGTGGTTATGTCTTTGACTATGATTACTACAGAGATGATTTCTACAATCGGTATGTAAATTTTTCATCCTCATTTTCCTATAATTTAAATTATCTTTTAGCCATTTTGTGCATTTTGCTCATGGGTGCTCTTGATTACAGTATTTAACATAATATTTTTCTAGTTAAAAATAAAATACTAAATCCCAGCAAAATATAGATTTTTCTATTTTCATTATTACTTACTGCAGTACAGCAGATCTTGGAATTTTAGGACTTTCAAGGTGTTCAAACTTAAAATTTGGTATCTAATATTTAGATAAAATCCTAAAGATTTATCTAGCTAATGTTATTTTCCAAGTGAGCTGTTGATTTAGAATCCTTCAAAATCAAGAGCTTGAAAACTCAGAAAAATGACTCCAGCCTTCTAAGGTACATAATAAAAGACTGAAAATGCTATATTGGTTAGAGTCTGTAAAACATACAGATCGTTCCTGCTTTGCATGAGTAGGAGGCCACAAAGGTGACCATGCGATCTGAAACCATGCAATGAGGAAAAAACAGGATTGTCTCATGACCTTAAAAATTTTTGTCAAAACATTAACAACTTGTATTCTCTTTTCTATAATAGGAAACTATAGTAAAGCTAAGTGTGATTTAGTATGCCATAATTTAAAACAATAAAAATATTAAGAATATTAAGAATTAAGGTGTTTTACTTCTTTGTAAAAAACACTTATCAAAAGGAGTTGACACAGTGCATGCCTTCTTCTCATTTCCTAACTTAAGACAGGATATGGAATAGGCATCCATGTTATGCCTTGTTGGATATTCCTTTCTAAGGTTCAATTCGCTGTGACATTCTATCAATGTTGTGAGCTATCTCTGAGGGTTCTTTCAATATGCAGTTCTTTTGCCAGGGTCACTTCCTCTCCATAGCTTCATCTGTTTCATCACATCACATCCACTTTCCTCACTTATATCGATAAGTTCGCCTTTACTAAGTTCCTCTGGCTGCATACCTAGATTCACTTAAATGGAGGAGTATCAACATTCCTGTAGTGAGCTATTTCTTCTGTAATTTCATTTACATTTGAGTTTCCTGTCTAGTATTATCAGTCTTCAATTCTTTGCTGCATTTTCATCTTTGTTGATCAGTTATTTCTTTTGATTATTCAATTTTGTAAAATGCCACGTTTTATCACTGAGAGACAAGGAAGAATTACAACTAATGATCTGAAATGAGTGAAGTGAATAACCAATGAACAGCAAAAAATCACTGACAGGCTTTGAAAGAAGTAATGTGATTAGTGATGAACTGTGATTATGATGCACATTTATTATTTATGCATTTATTTGTGGAAAAGCTAGAAGCAAAGTTTGGACTTTATTAAATTACTTAACATTTATATGTTGTAGTAACTAAAATTTGTGTTGTTGGAGAACTGGTGTTATTTAATATTAGTAACTGAAATGTATCCATATCAGAGACAGGGATCAACTATATATAGATAATTAGATCAAATAAATGAGGTAAATATACTTTAAGCCTTTAATTATAAGTATTATGCAAGCAAACAAAAAACCCTTAGGTACTGTTTAAAAAGGCAAACTTAGAAGAAAGTTGTCAATAGATGTTTTAAAGAGGAAGAAACTGTGATCCTTGAAAGGGTCTTATTCTCTCTGCCCCAGCCTCTAGAGCCCTTCATAAGTTTCACAAGAACACCGTGTTTCTTCCTGCCTCAGTTCCTTTCTCTGTGTTGTTCCATCTCCTTACACCTCCCTCTACCACTTGGTTCACTTGACTTCATCCTTCAGATGTCAACAGGAATTTCCCTCAAAGACTAAATTACGTTCCTTTGTTCCCCTCTTCTCAGCACCCAGCACTGTTACTTCACAGTACCTCTCCTATTTTCTATTGCCGTATTTCTTTCTGCAGTGTTTGATTCATGTCTTCCTTCCTTCCCCCACCCAAACAATGTTCAGTTTTGCTTATCTTTGTATTCTTGGGGACTCTCAGTAAACCTCACACATAGTGGATACTCTGTGTTATTAATTCATCTCCATAGATTTAGAGACATAGTCATTTTCCCAAGGCCACCCAGCTAATTAGTGACAGAACTACAATCATAATCTAGGCATCCAATTAGATTCAATAACCAACTATGTGAATATGCACAATAGGGAGGACAATATCAGTCTATGGAGCTATGCTGATTCCTACCTGGGAATCAGACGCACAACAGTACCTTCATTGCTACTATGCTTGAACCAGTGAATTAAGCAACTTATTTTACTAGTTATCCTTTTTTGACAAAAATTATTTTTTAAGAATGATTTTCTCAAAGCATTTTATAATTTCTGTAAATTTTATTTTAAATATTAAGAAACTTGCAATAACTTATTCTAAAAGTGATGCAAACATCTAGCAGCATTAAAATAATCCCATTTGCTATCAAAAAGAATATCTAGACTGTTTTTATGCTATTTGAAAATTTTAGTTTTTGACAAGTTTAGACATTTTCTATAGCTTTTGTTTCACTTGCTATGAGTAAAGTTTTCAATTAATATACATTGTCTTATACTCTGTCAATATAAAGCCATTTTAGCACCTTTTATTTTCTATCATGTGACTTCCTTACACACATTTAAAGAATTTTCACCTAACATCGAGTTTTATTCTACATGGTAAGCGACCCATGTTCTGGTTGTTACTGGAAAAGGGTCCCAATTCAGACCTTAAGAGAGAGTTCTTGGGTCTTGCAAGAAAGAATTCAGGGCAAGTCCACAGTGCAAAGCAAAAGAAAGCTTATTAAGAAAGTAAGGTGGTGAACGAACAGCTACTCCATAGACAGAGTACAGTATTCCCGAAAGTAAGAGGAGGAATGCACCCATCCTAGGTACAATGCTTGTTTATACATAACAACTTCAACAAAAACCAGAAACAAACAAACAAAAAAAACATGGGCAGATGTGCTCTCCTGCAAGGGTTTGTTATAAAGGATTAATTTTTCTAATTACTGTATTTTGCAAGAATCGACCTTTAAAGCAAAATTAAGAATGCTTTTGTTCTCAAGGTATGGAGATATCAGGACATTCCTGGGCCTGGGTCTGTTTAGTAAACATTATTTATCTGTCCCCTTAACCTTAAACATCTAGAAGCTAGGAATACCTACCTCCTGGGAATGCAGCCCAGCAAGTCCCAGGCTCATTTTTTTCCTTGCCCTTACTCAAGCCTCTGACATGGTAACTAGCCTTGTAACTTTAGGCAAGTCAGGTTTTCAGTTTTCTCATCTTTAAAAAGAAGGCTGAATCTCCATTTTACTATTTAGAAATGATAGCTCAATAAAATCATTAAATAGATGATAGATATAGATGATTGATAGATAGGATAGATAGATGATAGATAGATTTATCTTATTTGCCAAGGAACAAGTGCCTTAGTCAAATAATTAGAGAGACTGTAGCTTTCAGATGACTCTCTACTACACAAGAAAGCTTAAGTATGAACAATTTTCAAATCATTTATTTGCTTTGTATACAATATGTTTGGCATATAAGTGTGCAATAGATCAGTATGGTTGTATTGTTAACAGACTGAGCAGTCTGTGCTCTCATTAGTTTATTTTCCATTTTTGGCACTTGGCTAAGAAAAACATAAGCATCTGCCACTAGTGGCTATAACCAAGAGTTCCCTACAAACATAGAATACCATGAAACAGGAACAGAATGGAGAGGCTGGACAAGATACATAGCTTTCAGAGTCACTGCTAGTCCACAGTCATTTCTCATAAGTTACAGTCTTCTTGCAATTTGTGGGTTGTTTTTTTTTTCTCTGTTTTAGTAGAGGTGCAAACTTGGGCAAGTTAGTTAACATCACAAAATCTGTTATATCTCATCTGTTAGATGAACATGAAATTAATTCCTAACTTATGAAATCATTCTGAGAATTAAATGAGGTCACATATGTATAATGATCAGCATTATGCCTGGTATATTTTTTAGTGCTTAATCAATATTAGCTAGTAGCAACAGTTAACAGTAACCATTAACAATAATGGGGCCAGGCATTGTGGATCATGCCTGATTCCAGCACTTTGTGAGGCTGAGGCAGATGGATCACCTGAGGTCAGGAGTTCAAAACCAGCCTGGCCAACATGGTGAAACCCCATTTCTACTAAAAATACAAAAATTAGCCAGATGTGCTGGTGGGCACCTGTAATCCCAGCTACTTGGGAGGCTGAGGCAGGAGAATCACTTGAACCCAGGAGGCAGAGCTGCAGTGAGCTGAGATCATACCACTGCTCTCCAGCCTGGGTGACAGAGTGAAACTCCATCTCAAAAAAAGAAAAAAATAATGGTAGATGTATTTCTCATATTGACAGTCATACAGCAGTGTCCATATAACTGAAAATCAAACTAGTTGATCAGTTTTTCTTCCCTAATAGTTTATGTGGGACACCTCTGGATTATTCTGTTTTCCCAATTTTCCCTCTCCTGCTCCCCAAAGCATTCCAGCTGCAGCTGAACACACCTGCAGAGAGCACTCAGCTGTTTCTGTTAACACCATGCTGCTTGTTTAGGTCATGAAAACAGAAATTACACTACTTATGTTTAACAGGGATAACTGCATAGAGAAACTTGTTAACTAGGTATTAGAGAACTGAAAACACAAAAAGGCATTATGGTATAAAGGAGTTAGCGACTTAAGGAAGCTGCTACCACCTCTAGTGCTGGGGAAACAAGGAAAGGTTTGGGATCTCAAAAATTGCTGCAGAAAAAGAACCTACCAGAGCTGAAACTATGGATAGGAGAATCTGTTCAGATGGTGCTGCTGTGTCTGAGTCCACAAGGAGAACTTGTGGTGCTGACACCCAAATCTCTGAAACAGGGATATGGGCTGACAGGTGCTGAGGTCTTTGAGGAAGCATAGAGTGGTTATTCTCCAAGTGTTGCAAAATTATTCAGACTGGCTTCTGCTGCTGCTACTGGAATTAATTGCTGTTGCCAGGGTGAAGACACTAGATTGGGGTAATGCTGACAAGAGCAGGAAGCCAAAACACAAATAAAAA